TGGGCTCAGCAAAGCGCCGGCAACCGCTTGTCTCGGACTGATGGAGCGTGGCGGAGGAGATGCTGAGGCGGAAGGAGCGGAATACCATCAAGATGCGGCCATGGAAGCACATAGCAACGGGTCTGCCAGCGACAAGTGCAGCGAGAGTGCGCAGAAAGTGATGGACTCGAGGAAGGAAGCTGAGTGGAACGGACGAGATGAGTACGAGTTAAAGGCGGTGGCGACGGAGGAGGAGGAGGAGGAGGAAGAAGCAGAAGAGTGTGTGGAGGAGGACGAGGCGGATGTTGAAAACTATGCTCGGATAATGCGAACATGCCATCGCGGTTGCCTGTTTGCCAGAGCTCGAGGTGATCCGTGTCTACGGACGAGAAGAAGAGGAGGGCTGATCCAGATTTGCCGCTTCAGTCTCGGAAAACGTCAGTTTTTGGCTGATCATCAAAAATGGCGCCTCCTGCAAAAGGCAAACCAACGCTACGGCATGAAGAGTTTCTGTCCCACAAGCCAACCTTCCAGAGAGGGTAATTGTGATGCACATGGTTCCGTTTGCTCCATTCCAGAACATGCAGAGGAATGAAAAGAAGCGAACAAATTGCCTGACAGATTAACAGATTGCTTTAGTACCGAGAAGAATTATTACCGTTCACATGGTGGGATAAAATGAAGCCCAGAACTCTTAAGATGCAAGCGGTGGCTACAATACACTCCGATTTCTGGGCATTCTTGAGATAAACAGAGACGGACCCCCTTGCAACCTGCATCATGAGGTTCATCAGATGAAATCTTTCGTACAACTCTTGCATCAAATCCGAAATTGATGGACAAATGGCATTTAAACTGTCATAGTTCTTTCATTGCAAGATTACAAATATTTTATTTTCGACATACAATCTTTGCCCTGTTTTCTAAATTTAACTTCAACAAATTGGGCTATTATCCAAACGTCCGACTAGCATATCCATAGGGATAAAATTCACATAAAAATTACTCCTTTATGTGACAAGAGAGCCCATCTTCAGAGGAGATGCTCAAGTCGGCCGCTCTGGACAATGACAATGCTTTGAACCCGTCGCCAGTGTCATCGAAGAGCCCAGGTATTTATCCATAATGTGCTTCATGCCTCGACTTGTGCAAGTTGGTTAGTTCAATTGTGGGCAGATTCATGAAGCCTAGGCGTATGTCTAAAAGAATGATACATTCCTATTGTGTATTTCGCTTTTGAGTAGGTTGTCAAGACTACCAGTCTGGTTAGCAACAAGCATGTGTATCCAAGTCCATTCCCATCTTCAGGTGGGATCAACCTTCGAATATCCTTACAATGAAAATACACTCAATAATTATG